GATTGCAAACACCTACAAATCCAACGGGAGATCGAAGAGAAGAAGAACAGCAATTCTAGAAACAGAAAATCAACCACTTTCTGAAAGGTAGGACTGGCGGAGAAGTGAATCCAAAGCGAAGGGAAGACAGACTGCGGGGGGAGGGGCCGGCTCCTGGCAAGCGGCAGAGCAACGGAGCACAAAATCAGGACATTTAAAAGTCTGTTCCGCTGAGGGACATCACTCCAGAGGCTAAACCGGGGTGAAGCCCACGTGGGATCAGCGTGGCCTCAGGTTCCGCAGGGTCACAGAAAGATCGGGGGTGGATGAGTGTCGCAGAGCTTGCAGGTATTAGAACAGGGAAGCCGGCTACAGAGACAGAGCCGAGGAGTGAGCTCACAGCTCGGGGTTACCTTGAACCGGTCGCAGGCTTGGTGAGCTCAGAGCGCGGCCGGAGCTCAGGCAGATGGGAGTAAATGGGAGCTGTTCTCTGAGGGCACACTGAGGAGGGGGGCCCCGAGCTCTCGGCTCCTCTGGGCCAGAGACCGGGAGGCCGCCATTTTCATTCCCGCCCTCTGGAACTCTCGGGGAACAAAAGCTCCCGAAAGCAAACCCGAGCGGATTACTCAGCCTGGCCCCTGGTAAGGGCGGTGCAATTCCGCCTGGAGCAAAGACACTTGAAAATCACTACAACAGGCCCCTCCCCCAGAAGATCAACAAGAAATCCAGCCAGGAGCAAGTTCACCTACCAAGGAGTGCAGGTTCAACACCAAGGAGAGCAGCAGAATTCCAGAGGAGGAGAAAGCAAAGCACAGAACTCATGGCATTCTCCGCATGATTCTTTAGTCTTGCAGTTAATTTTTTTTTTCTTTTTCAATATTTTTTCTCTCTTCTGCTAAATTTTTTTAACTTTTACCCTTTTCTTTTTTAACGTTTTTAACTAGTTTATCTAATATACATATATATATATATATATTCTTTTCTTTTTTATACCTTTTCTTTATTTGTTTTCTTTTTTTAATTCTTTCTTTTAATTTTTTTTTTCTGAACCTCTTTTTATCCCCTTTCTCCCCCCTCACGATTTCGGATCTCTTCTGATTTGGTTAAAGCATATTTTCCTGGGGTCTTTGCCACCCTTTTAATATTTTACTTGCTTTTTCATATACTCTTATCTGGACAAAATGACAAGGTTGAAAAATTCACCACAAAAAAAAAAAAAAAGAACAAGAGGCAGTACTGAAGGCTAGGGACCTAATCAATACAGACATTAGTAATATGTCAAATCTAGAATTCAGAATGATATTTCTCAAGGTTCTAGCCGGGCTCGAAAAAGGCATGGAAGACATTAGAGAAACCCTCTCGGGAGATATAAAAGCCCTTTCTGGAGAAATAAAAGAACTAAAATCTAACCAAGTTGAAATCAAAAAGCTATTAATGAGGTGCAATCAAAAATGGAGGCTCTCACTGCTAGGATAAATGAGGCAGAAGAAAGAATTAGCGATATAGAAGACCAAATGACAGAGAATAAAGAAGCTGAGCAAAAGAGGGACAAACAGCTACTGGATCACGAGGGCAGAATTCGAGAGATAAGGGACACCATAAGAAGAAACAACATTAGAATAATTGGGATTCCAGAAAAAGAAGAAACAAGAAATGTCTCAGGTATACAACCTAACACTACACCTAAAGGAGCTGGAGAAAGAACAATAAAGAAACCCTAAACCCAGCAGGAGAAGAGAAATCATAAAGATCAGAGCAGAAATCAATGAAGTAAAAACCAAAATAACAATATAACAAATCAACAAAACCAGGAGCTAGTTCTTTGAAAGAATTAATAAGATTGATAAACCCCTGGCCAGACTTATCAAAAAGAAAAGAGAAAGGACCCAAATAAATAAAATCATGAATGAAAGAGGAGAGATCACAACTAACACCAAAAAATACAGACAATTATAAGATCATACTATGAGCAACACTATGCCAACAAATTTGACAATCTGGAAGAAATGGATGCATTCCTAGAGACATATAAACTACCACTACTGAACCAGGAAGAAATAGAAAACCTGAACAGACCCATAACCAGCAGGGAGATTGAAACAGTCATCAAAAATCTCCAAACAAACAAAAGTGCAGGGCCAGACGGCTTCCCGGGGGAATTCTACCAAACATTTAAAGAAGAACTAATTCCTATTCTCCTGAAACTGCCCCAAAAAATAGAAATGGAAGGAAAACTTCCAAACTCATTTTATGAGGCCAGCATCACCTTGATCCCAAAACCAGACAAGGATCCCATCAAAAAAGAGAACGACAGACCAATATCCTTGATGAACACTGATGCGAAAATTCTCACCAAAATACTAGCCAATAGGATTCAACAGTACATTAAAAGGATTATTCACCACGACCAAGTGGGATTTATTCCAGGGCTGCAAGGTTAGTTCAACATCCGCAAATCAATCAATGTGATACAACACATTAATAAAAGAAAGAACAAGAACCATATGATACTCTCAATAGATGCTGAAAAAGCATTTGACAAAGTACAGCATCCCTTCCTGATCAAAACTCTTCAAAGTGTAGGGATAGAGGGCACATACCTCAATATTATCAAAGCCATCTATGGAAAACCCACCGCAAATATCGTTCTCATTGGAGAAATACGGAAAGCTTTTCCGCTAAGGTCAAGAACATGGCAGGGACGTCCATTATCACCACTGCTATTCAACATAGTACTAGAAGTCCTAGCCTCAGCAATCAGACAACAAAAGGAAATTAAAGGCATCCACATCGGCAAAGAAGTCAAACTATCACTCTTTGCAGATGATATGATACTATATGTGGAAAACCCAAAAGACTCCACTCCAAAACTGCTAGAACTTGGACAGGAATTCAGTAAAGTGTCAGGATATAAAATCAATGCACAGAAATCAGTTGCATTTCTCTACACCAACAACAAGACAGAAGAAAGAGAAATTAAGGAGTCAATCCCATTTCCAATTGCACCCAAAACTATAAGATACCTAGGAATAAACCTAACCAAAGAGGGTAAGAATCTATACTCAGAAAACTATAAAGTACTCATGAAAGAAACTGAGGAAGACACAAAGAAATAGAAAAATGTTCCATGCTCCTGGATTGGAAGAATAAATATTGTGAAAATGTCTATGCTACCTAAAGGAATCTACACATTTAATGCAATTCCTATCAAAGTACCATCCATTTTTTTCAAAGAAATGGAACAAATAATCCTAAAATTTATATGGAACCAGAAAAGACCTCGAATAGGCAAAGGAATATTGAAAAAGAAAGCCAAAGTTGGTGGCATCACAATTCCAGACTTCAAGCTCTATTACAAAGCTGTCATCATCAAGACAGCATGGTACTGGCACAAAAACAGACACATAGATCAATGGAACAGAATAGAGAGCCCAGAAATAGACCCTCAACTCTATGGTCAACTAATCTTCGACAAAGCAGGAAAGAATGTCCAATGGAAAAAAGACAGCCTCTTCAATAAATGGTGTTGGGAAAATTGGACAGCCACATGCAGAAAAATGAAATTGGATCATTTCCTTACACCACACATGAAAATAGACTCAAAACGGATGAAGGACCTCAATGTGAGAAAGGAATCCATCAAAATCCTTGAATAGAACACAGGCAGCAACCTCTTCGACCTCAGCCACAGCAACTTCTTCCTAGGAACATCGCCAAAGGCAAGGGAAACAAGGGCAAAAATGAACTATTGGGATTTTATCAAGATCAAAAGCTTTTGCACAGCAAAGGAAACAGTTAACAAAACTAAATGACAACTGACAGAATGGGAGAAGATTTTGCAAATGACATATAAGATAAAGGGCTAGTGTCCAAAATCTATAAAGAACTTAGCAAACTCAACACCCAAAGAACAAATAATCCAAGGAAGAAATGGGCAGAAGACATGAACAGACATTTCTGCAAAGAAGACATCCAGATGGCCAACAGAAACAGGAGAAAGTGCTCCATACCACTCAGCATCAGGGAAATACAAATCAAAACCACAATGAGATATCACCTCACACCAGTCAGAATGGCTAAAATTAACAAGTCAGGGAATGACAGATGCTGGCGAGGATGCGGAGAAAGGGGAACCCTCCTACACTGTTGGTGGGAATGCAAGTTGGTGCAACCACTCTGGAAAACAGCATGGAGGTTCCTCAAAATGTTGAAAATAGAACTACCTTATGACCCAGCAATTGCACTGCTGGGTATTTACCCTAAAGATACAAATGTAGTGATCCGAAGGGGCACGTGCACCCGAATGTTTATAGCAGCAATGTCTACAATAGCCAAACTATGGAAAGAACCTAGATGTCCATCAACAGACGAATGGATAAAGAAGATGTGGTATATATACACAATGGAATACTATGCAGCCATCAAAAGAAATGAAATCTTGCCATTTGCGATGACATGGATGGAACTAGAGGGTATCATGCTTAGCGAAATAAGTCAATCGGAGAAAGACAACTATCATATGATCTCCCTGATATGAGGAAGTGGAGATGCAACATGGGGGGCTAAGGGGGTAGGAGAAGAATAAATGAAACAAGATGGGATTGGGAGGGAGACAAACCATAAGTGACTCTTAATCTCACAAAACAAACTGAGGGTTGCTGGGGGGAGGGTCGTTGGGAGAAGTGGGGTGGGGTTATGGACAACGGGGAGGGTATGTGCTATGGTGAGTGCTGTGAAGTGTGTAAACCTGGTGATTCACAGACCTGTACCCCTGGGGATAAAAATATATTATATGTTTATAAAATAAAAAATAAATAAATATAAATAAATAAATAAATAAATAAGCAGTAAATAAATAAATAAATAAATAAATAAATAACCAGGTGCCAATTCCAGCTTTTTTCACTTTTTTGAATAGATTATCTTTTATATATGAACCCTCCTCATCCCTAAAGAGTGAAGAGTGGTAGCCCACACTACTCAGCTATAAAAAATGTCTCATATATTTGGAGAAAATGTACCTTGGTGAAGCCTATTTGCTCCTTCCGAAAATTTTCCAGGGGTTTAATCAGCAAATCACTAGCATTGTGTACCTAGAAAGAAGAAAGAACACATTAAACAACTTTCAGAGTAGAAAGGATCAAATTCAAGTTTCCTTGTTACTAAGGCATTGGCATGTAATACACCAACCTGCAAGATGCAAACCAATTGGCATTTTTTTCATTGTTGTTACTGTCCTTTTTCCCATAATGGTCTCCTAAAATCAAATGTTTTTTGAGAGGAAATGAGAGAAGCAACACTGGGGGCATTACTCTGTAACTTACTAGTAGTCTGATCATTGATAAATATCTATAGCCATGTTCAGAAACAGATACAGGGGGCCTGAAGTATATGTGGAAAAGAGAAAGAGAATGGGAAATTGTATGAAAATACCAATTGCACCAAGTGCAAACCATTTCACGGGAGGTAAACGAGTTAGCAATAATAGCATCAGGATAAATCTCAGGATAAATTGTTTCTGGTCCTGCCAGGGTATATCATAAATTCAGAACATTTTCTTCAGAACTTAAGAGTATCTTATAGCATCACAGAGAGCACTGGATCAGGCCTTCAAACTACCTATATTTGCTCCAAAGCTGATAAAAACAGCCTGTCCAAGAATGAAAAATATTTACATTAATATGGTTCTAGAGATATAAAAACACCATTTGCAAACCATATCCCTTGCTCAGCAGGCAAGCAGAGATATACAAAGCTTTGTGTTCATATAAACCTCTTCAAAGATTGTATCTGTCCAAGGCAACAATATACAAATCAGCTGTATATTAATAGAGGATCTAAGAGAATATATCTAAAGGGCTGGATTTTAGGACCCATTCCATTACTTTTGATATAAGATAGGGAAATGAGGTACTGCCTTTCTTGTCAAATGAGACATAAAGTGTCAGTAAGACAAGATATAGCTTCATAAAAAAAAGTAGAACAAAAGAGTAGAAGGCCAGTTTTGACCAGTCCTATATTCTCCAGATTAAGAAGCAGTTTTTAAACTACTACCAAAATGCATGGCAAGTTGGGGCATTAGTACATATATTTAATCTGTGTCCTGCAGGTACTTTGGGTCTCCTGTTTTTTGTCCAGGAATGAACAGAGTTCAACCAAATGGCCAAACTCTCACCTAATCAAAGCTCTACCAGAACCCCTAGTACCAAAAATAAGGATAGCAGTGATTCTCCTTGATCAAAACTAAGAATTATTCTATTAAAAGTACTAACCCAATTGAGGAGGGCATGTGATGGGGTAAGCATTGGGTATTATACACAACTAATGAATCACTGAACATGACATCAGAAACTAATAATGTACTGTATGTTGGCTAACAGAACTTAAATTTTAAAGTACTAACCCATCTCTCTCACCCAACACAATCTACAGTTCTATGGACTGTGAATTACATGATATCAACTTTGTGTATGTACTTGGAAACAAATTATGTCACTAGTGTCATAGATCCAGTACAGAAAGTCATTTTTCTTCTCTCCTTTTGTAAAAGCTTTAAAACATGGCCACGGAGTTTGTGACACTTCCCCTATTGAGAGGTGAGGTCTCTGTCCCCTCCACCTTTAATATGAGTGGGTTTATTACTTCTTTGAACCAATGGAGTATAGCAGAAGTGACACTATGTGACTTCTCAGACTAAGTCATAAAAGGCCAACAACTTCCACCTGATTCTCTTGTAACACTTGCTCTGGGGAGACCTGAGTCACTCTATAAGAAGTTAGACTCCCCTGAAACTACTAACCTAGAGAGGCCAAATATACACTTGCTAGTCAAAAGTCCAGCTGAGCCCAGCCTTCCAGCCATTCCACTGAGATGCCTGATAGGTGAGCAAAGCTGCTTTGGTCTCTCCACTTCAACCAGCCTCCCAGGTGTATGCTACCACATGAAGCAGAAGAATTACCCAGCTATCCCCTGCCTGAATTCCTGACCCACAACATAATGAGATGAAATTAAATGGTTTGTTTAAGCCACTATATTTTGGAATACATTGTTATGCAGCAACAGACACTTAGAAAAACATTGTCCACTTTCACAAAGGTGACACAAATAGTGATTACCTGGGACACACTGAGGAAGTTTAGCTTTGACTACGAAGTGAACATACCATTTCTAAGGAGAATAGTATGTCTCAAACTTCCATATGGAATTTCAGCTGAGCCCTTGCATACACAGGCAACCCAAGGATGGCACAGTTGCCAGTTTTTATGTTTCAAAGAGAATTTTCTTCTATAAGCAGGTGTGCTAGCCACTGCTTACGAGGGGTCCATAAAGCTACTGCTTTTTGAATGTTTGGCCCTGTCTCTGTCTAGAAAACTAGTACATGATTCACTGAAATTGGAGACCATAGTACTCCCTTGATCACATTGATTATAATATTGCTCCCAGTCTCCCACAACTCAAATAGATACTCTGAGCATTTACTCTCTTTGACACTCATTGGTTATTATAATACTTTATACCAGAACACAGAGCTAGAGATATAGGAAAAGATCACACTGAAGCTTGGCTTGTTTTTGTTTTTGTTTTTGTTTCATTTTATTTTATCCTTAAATCCCTTAGAAGTCTAGCAACTATTCAAAAAAGCACTTTTAATTAAACATGATATTTATTCCCCTTTCTGATCACTGAATCCATTCCCTAAACTCTCTAGCAGAAAAGCTCCTACTGCTATCTCAGGGTAGAACCCCCAGCATGATAAGCGACACTCTAAACATATTAGTAAGTTTAGCTAATCAGGTTCCTATTGAATGAATCCCAGTTAACACTAGATAGGCATTTAGCAGATTAGAGACGGTACTCAATCCAGCAGGTTAGAACTGTTCACAAATCTTTGATGGTTAACTAATCACCCAGGAGTCTTTGAGGATATACTGCTTGAAACAGTATGGTTCTCTTTAGGTCATTCTCTGCAGTCCTCAAAGACAGAACTTGCACATTGCTAATAGGATTCCCTTCAGAGTCAGAAAAGCAAGCCAAAAGTTAATCAAATAGGAAGTCTGTTATCCAGACTTTCCAAGGCCAACTTCTGAGGTGATACAATATCCCTAGGGTACTATTTAAGAACATCACAGTTGGAATGCTCCCCCTCAATTCTTTCCTCCATAATTGCTTCCACAATTTAAGTTCATTTACAAGAATGACTAGACATTTTCGATTATTACAGGCTAGAGCTGTGAACTTCCTTCCTGTTCTAAAGCTTCTTTAGGTCTCTTCTTATAGAAAGAATAAAAAGCTGTTTAATACCTCCCAGATTATCCATGTTGGGATAAGGAGTATTTTTACCACAGTTCTAGAAAAAGGGAGAGGTGCAGTCAAGCAATGAATTCCTGGCATGTTGTGAAAGGCCCTCATTGAGCCTAACCTTTATGGCATTCCTAGAATTAAATGGGAAATGGAGAGCCAACACTCAATACATGATTGAAGAGAAGAGTTGTGGGGACAAAAAGGCACGATATAATGAAAGACAGAAGAAAATGAGTCAATCCTGTGGAAAAGAGCCAGCAAGAAGGGTGAGAAAAACAGTATCTTAAAAGATGAGTCCTACTTTAATATTTTAGAGCTTTGTAACTGGATAAATAAAAGAGATCAAGAAACAATGAGAGCTGAAGAGAAGAACAGTTAAGATTTCTAGTGGTATATGAATGAAATGTAGTTGAATGCCTTTGAGATCAACATTGGCAGTAGTCCACAAACTCTTCAGGCAGAAGAAAACATTTAGTAGAGTATAGATTAGCTACGGAGACCATCTACCAGACTCCAGAGAAACTACTCATATTGGTCTCTCATTAATATCCTTAGAAGCAAGTCTCTTAATCTAAGAAAATTCCCAAGTCAAATTTCCATAAGCAGAATCTTGGGAGTAACAAAAGTAAACTACAAACAACACTCACTGAATAAGTGTTTTTTGCTATTCATAGAACACTTTCGTATTCATTATATCATTTGGAGTTCTTATAACAACCTTGGGAGGTGGGGATTATTTTCCACATTATACATATGGAAAAAAAACAATGAAATACCATAATTAATTTGAAATTAACAATTAGTGGCACTGCCATTGTATCACCCAAGTCTCTACTTCCCCTACCTTCAAGTCCTGCCTTCAATCCCACTTCTCTAGGAGCCTAGTTGATATGATAGCGGTATTCTTGGAAGCCAGTATCACACTGTTGAAAAGGATGAGTAATGACAGATGAAAGAATCTGGATATTGAATAAATAGGCTTAACAAAACTGAACTGCCCATAGGAAGTCATCCTATTAAGAAAAGGAAGATAGAATTCTCATCGCCCTCTACAAAGTTCCATCATTACCCTCACAACCCTAATAAAAATAAATATTGACCAACTTAGATTAACTTCTACATTTTAGTCCAAACAGGTCTGGGGTGGGGCCAAAGACCTGCATTTCTAACAATTTCCCAGGTGACACTGGTGCTGCTTGTCTAGGGACCAGACAAAAAGATTATTTTTTAAGCTGATAAAATAGAATTCACAAAAAATGAAATACTTAGGAATATATCTAACAAAATATGTACAAGATCTATGTAAGGAAACTACAAAACTGATGAAAGAAGTCAAAGAAGGGTTAAATAAATGGAGAGATAACCCATGTTCATAAATATGAAGACAATATTCTCAGGATGTCAGCTTATCCCAACTTGTTCTATAGATTGAATATAATCCTGATAAAAATCCCAGCAATTTATTTTGTGGGTACTGACAAACTGATTCTGAAGTTTATACATAACATTAAGTCTTACTACAAAGCTACAGTAATCAAAACAGAAGAAAGGGATTATGTGAAATCTCTCTATACTTTCCAATCAGTGTTTCTGTAAAACTAAAAGTGTTCTAAAAAATGTCTATTATTTTAAGAAATAGAATTTAAATATAAGGAAAAGTCTTCACACAGATTTAAATAAAACAATTATATGTCAAATATAAATAAAGCTTTCTATAAGCAGAGAAACAGATAAATAAATGAATAATTTAAAGAATTAAGGGCCACAATTTCTTTCTACATGTTCAATAGCTCGGTTTAATGTCCTTCAAACCCCTTCTCCCTGATATGAACAGGAATGGAATTTCCACATTAATTTCTCTCTACATAATGCTAAACTCCCAGGGTAAATCTTGAAATAGAATAATCAGATCTATTTCCTAAATATCTTTATTGTTCTAAACAGCCATGAGACAGAAACTGAAACAACAGACTATTAATCCAATTAATGAGGAGAGAAAAATCTCCAAAATCAGCCAAGCCATCAGTTCAAGATCCAGTGTTAGAGACCTACCATCATCATCCTCTCATTTTCTACTTCGTTGAGCAATTCGGCAAATTCCTTGAAGGATTCAGCTAGGACAGAATAAAAATAAACCAAATTAATCAGAGTACTTGGTAGGGAAGTGGGCAGAGATCAGTGCTGCAAGGTGGACACTAGGGGAAGGCATCAAACCTAAGGCCAATAGGAGAATGTGTTCAATGCCTGTTGAATGTTTCTTTTCTTTTCTTTATCCTTCCTTCCTTCTATTTTTAATTTTTTGAGGGACCTCCATTCTATTTTCCACAGTAGCTGCACCAATTTGCATTTCCACCAACAGTGTACTGTTCCTTTTTCTCCACATCCTCACCAGCATTTGTCATCTCTTTCTTTTTCATGAAAGCCATTCTAACTGAGGGACATTGTGATTTTAATTGCATTTCCCTTACGTTTAGTGATGTTAATCAAGTTTCATGTACCTCTTGTCTATTTCAGTATCTTCTTTGGAAAAATATCAATTCAAATCTTTTGCCCATTTTTATTTGTTTTTTTTATTTGTTTGTTTTGCTATTGAGTTGTCAGAGTTGTTTATATTGAGTTTGTCAGAGTTGGCTATTAACCCCTTACCAGATACATGATTTGTAAATATTTTCTCCCATTCCTTAGGTTTCCTTTTCATTTTGTTGATTTTTTTTCTTTGGCTGTGCACAAGAATTTTAGTTTGATGTAATCCCTCTTGTTAATTTTTTTTATGTTGTTGCTTTTCCTTTGGTGTTATATCGAAAAAACTGTCAAGACCCTATCAAGAAGATTTTTCCCCATGTTTTCTTCTAGGAATTTTATGGTTTCAGGTCTTACATTTAAGTCTAATCCATTTCAAGTTAACTTTTGTGAACAGTGTAAGTTTAGGATCTACTATCATTCTTTCACATGTGAATATCTAGCTTTCTCAGCACTAGACTGTCTTATCCCATTATATATATCTAAGATACATAGATATACAGATAAAATATTAATACACACACATACCATATCTTCTTTACCCATTCATCTATCAATGGACACTTGGGCTGCTTCCACAATTGGGCTATGGAAAATAATGCTGCTATAAACATAGAGGTGCATATAACCCTTTAAACCATAAGTGACTCTTAATCTCACAAAACAAACTGAGGGCTGCTGGGCAGAGGGGGGTTGGGGGGGGTTATGGACATTGGGTAGGGTATGTGCTATGGTGAGTGCTGTGAAGTTTGTAAACGTGGAGATTCACAGACCTGTACCCCTGGGGGAAAAATATATATATATATATGTTTATAAAAAATAAAATTATAAAAAAAAATTATAAAAAAAAATAAAAAAAAAATAAAAAAAAAAATAAATGAATGTTTTCATATTTTAGGGGTAGATATCCAGTAGCACAATTACTGGATTGTAGGTTAGTTCTATTTTTAATTTGGGGGGGAACCCCCATATTGTTTTCTACAGTGGTTGTACCTATCTGCATTCCCACCAATAGTGCAAAAGGTTTCCTCTTTCTCCATACCTTCATAAACACTTTTTTCTTGTATTTTTTATTTTAGCCATTCTGACAGGAGTGAAGTGATATTTCATTTTAGTTTTGATTTGCATTTTCATGATAATGAGTGATGTTGAGCAACTTTTCATGTGTTTGTTGGCCATATTTATGTCTTCTTTGGAAAAATGTCTGTTCATGTCTTCTGCCCATTTTTTATTGGATTATTTGTTCTTTGGGCATTGAGTTGTAGTAGTTCTTTACATATTTTGGATATTAACCATTTATTGGATATCCTATTTACAAATATCCTCTCACATTTGGTGGGTTGCCTTTTAGTTTTGTTGATTATTTCCTTCTTTGTGCAGAAACTTATTTTAGTGTAGTCCTGATAGTTTATTTTTGCTTTTATTTACCTTGCCTCAGGGCACATATCTAGAAAAATGTTGCTACAGCTGATGCAGAGACATTGCTGTCTGTGCTCTTTTTAATAGTTTTTATGGTTTCAGGTCTTACATTTAGGTCTTTAATCCAATTTGAGTTTGTTTTTTGTGTATGGTGAAAGAAAGTAGTCCATTTTCATTCTTTTGCATGTTGCTGTCCAGTTTTCCCAAACACAATTTGTTGAAGACAGTCTTTTTTATTGTACATTCTTTCCTCTTTTGTCAAAGATTAACTGACCATATAATAATGGGTTAATTTCTGGGTTTTCTGTTCTGTTCCATTGACCTATGTTTCTATTTTTATGCCAATATCATATTGTGTTGATTACTAAAGTTTTGTAATATAAATTGATATCTGAAATTTCAATATCTCCAGTTTTGTTTTTCTTTTTCAAGACTGCTTTTTGTGATTCCATATAAATTTTAAGATTGTTTGTTCTAGCTCTGTGAAAAATGCTGTTGGTATTTTGATAAGGATTGCATTAAATCTGTAGATTGCTTTGTGTAGTATAGACATTTTAACAATATTTGTTCTTCAAACCCATCAACATGAAATGGTCTTCCATTTGTTTACATTATCTTCAATTTCTTTCATCAGTGTTTTATAGTTTTCATAGCATAGGTCTTTCACCTCCTTGGTTAAGTTTATTCTTTGATGTTGTATTGTTTATGGTGCAACTGTGAATGGGATCAATTCCCTCATTTCTCTTTCTGCTGTTTCATTATTAATGTACAGGAATGCAACAGATTTCTGTACATTTATTTTGCATTCTGTAGCTTTACTGAATTCATTTATCAGTTTTAGTAGTTTTTTTTGTGGAGTCTTTAGTGTCTTCTATATAGAGTATCATGTCATCTAAAAATAGTGACATTTTTACTTCTTCCTTACCAATTTGGATGCCTTTTATTTCTTTAGATTGTCTAATTGCTGTGGCTAAGACTTCAATACCACATTGAATAAAAGTGGTGAGTGATCATCCTTGTCTTCTTCCTGACCTTAAGGGGAAAGTTCTCAGTTTTTCAACAGGTATGATATTGGCTGTACAGTTTTCATATAAGGCCTTTATTATGTTGAGGTATGTTCCCTCTACACCTGTCTTGCAAAGGGATTTTATCATGAATGGATATTGTACTCTGTCAAATGCTTTTTCTATATCTATTGAAATGATATAGAAATGATATCCTTTCTCCTATTGATGTGATGTATCCATTGATTGTTTTACAAATATTGAACCACCTTGAATCCCACAAATAAATCCCACTTAATCATGGTGTATGATTTTTTAATATATTGTTTGATTTGGTTTGCTAATATTTTGTTAAGGATTTTTGCATCTATATTCATGAGAGATATTGGCCTATAATCCTCTTTTTTGTGGTATCTTTATCTGGTTTTGGTATCAGGGTGATACTAGCCTCACAGAATAAAGTTTTCCTTCCTCTTGCATTTTTTGGAATAGTTTGAGAAAAACAGGCTTTAGCTCTTCTTTAAATATTAGATAGAATTCACCTGTGAATTCTGGTCCTGGCCTTTTGTTTTTGAGAGTTGTCAAATGGTTTTTCTGCATCAATTGAAATGATCATTGATTTTTACCTTTCATTCTATTAATGTAATATATAAAATTTATTGATCTGCATTTGTTGAACCATCTTTGCACCCCAGGGATAAATCCTACTTGATCCTGGTATATGCTCCTTCCAATGTGCTTCTGAATTCTGCTTTCTAATGTTTTAGTGAGAATTTTTACATCTGTATTCATCAGGAATATTGGCCTGTGGTTTTCCATGAGTTCTTTCATAGCTAGTATTTAATTTAATCTTCACAGACATCATCACCACAGACATCCTTAGGAGTAGCTAGGGTTTCACTCATTTCATAGACAAGCAAATGATTAGGTGAGGGGCAATGGGTTTGCTGTATTAAAAAAAAAGAGAGAGAGCTAAAATCTTGAGACCTGAGTTTGAATCTCTGCTCTGCTACTTAACAACCTAGAAAAATTTCTCAATTTAACCTTTCCATGCCTCAACTTCTCCATCTGTAAAATGAAGCTATTAGTAATTGTTACATCCGAGACATTATGGAGATATAATTGAATAATGAGTTGCCAACAGATTTTATAAAGGTTGAGTGTTTTTTCTTGTTTTTAGAAGCACTGTGGCTGATTAAAAAGCACATTCAACATACTAGCTATGACCTTTGACAAGTTACTCAAATTCTCTGAGACCAACTTTACTTGCCTAGAAATAGTAATTCCTCACAGGGTTATTTGATGATGAAACAAGATAACATCAAGTACAGGTCCCAGAACACATGATAGTGATTCAATAAATGTTAGTTCTGTTCCTTCTTTGATTTAAGGTTGTGATACTTGACACTGGCTAAATATTAGAATCATCTGGGAAGCATAGATACCATTGCTACTGCCCCCCCCTTGAGATCATTTAAGCCCAGATTCACTTGCTAAATGTCATATAGCTTGACTGATACAATTGCAGTGGTGAACACTCAGAAGCTGAGTCAGAAAATAAAGCTTAATTACCCAAGAGTATATTCTTATATTGAAATAACACAAAAATGAATGAACAGGACAAAATAACGATAATAAAACTATGTTGTGTTGTACAGAGAGCAGTAAGACCCAGGTACTCTTTTGTTTCTTTTTTGTGTTGTTGTTATTATTATATTTAACTACCAGCCTTCTGACCTAATTTTATCAGAATTTGGACATTAGCTCCAAAAACAAAAACAACAAGGTAAACATCTTGTTCTCTAGTTAACAGAATGAACTCAGATGATCTTATCCAACTCTTCATGCAATGCTTCAAACCTTGAGGAACTATCCAGTCTATGCTAACACTCTTCCAGTGAGAGTAGTGATGACCAACTTGTCTTATCATGCCAAGGACTGTCACCGTTATTAAACTGGAAGCCCCTTATTCTAGGAAATCCCCAAGCCCTAGTTTGCCCAGTACTGTAAGTCACCTAAATGACAGGGCTCACTTTCTCCTAAGGCAGGCCATTCCTTGCTTTCAGGATGTCTTTATTTAAATCTCTTTCCTTAATATTAAGATAAATTCCAACTCCCTGCATTCTAATTTTGTTTTTCCTCGGGTTCCTGAAGAGTTTTTGTGGGATTAT